CGATTTTAACCTGCCTGCTCTATCTGCAACGAGCTGGGTTATTGGAGAGAGTGGGAGGTGTCGCCATTCAGGCACCCCTCGCATGCACGTGTGCGCTCGGCGGCGGCGCTCATATCGATTACATCGTCGCCAGCGCCTCTAGCATCCCTTATATCACCTCTGTCGAAGGGTGCCTTGACGTCCCGTGGAGGCCCCACTGCGGGCTTATCGTTCGGTTGAGGTCCTCCGCCCAGCAGCTGCTTTGTCGAGAGCTCAAAATGGCGCGGAAGCTTCCGCAGGTCCCAAGGCCGAAAGCCATGCCCGTGCCTGGATCGAAGTCCAGTAAGAGCAAAGCCGCGGCCAACGAGCGACGGCTGGCTGCCGGGGCCTTTGCCGATGAGCAATACGACGAGCTGCATGGTGACCTGCACGAGCAGGGCTTGCAAGTCAGTCAGTCTGCGCACTCTCGAGCGCCTGCCGCTGGTGGAGCTGCAGGTGGCGATGGCGATGAGGAGAGTTTTGGCGCCCCCCTGTCTCTGCCCTCCCTCCTCGGTCCTCCACCTGGGGCCCGTGCCCCGAGCGAAGATGATGATCTCCCCCCTGCAGTCGGAGAGGCTGCCGATGAGTTCCACGAGCCCGCGGATGGTAACCAAGAGCCCCCAGCCCCCGTAAGTGCTGACAGTCGGGAGGATAGCACCCCCAGGGATCCAGTCTCCTCTCCTCCTCTCCCTCCCCCGCCTGGCTTCCGCATCTCTCCAGATACGCGGGCCGCGGCTAAACGGGAGGTGGGCTACATTCCTGTCCGTGACTACGGCAGTGTCTGGCCAGTCATTCGAGATTCAGCCGCGTTTGCTGCAGGTGGAGGGCGCATCTTGGGTGTCAGTGCGCTTTGCGAGCAGTGGGTTTCTACGGTCGAGTCCGCTATTCAGGAACGCCATGGGCTTTCTCAGGAAGGGCGATCCAGGGGGCATGGTCCGATTTCCAGGAGGCTCAGGTTCACGTTTTGGATAAAGTGCGCCAGGAACCGCTGCGTGGTATGGTTGCGTGTTGGTGGGGTCGTGTGTACACCGTCTTGCGCAATCTCCATCATCATCTCACCAAATCTAATGGTCGGCTTCAGCGCAGTCGTCTTGAGCGTGCGCGTAAAGATCTTGCGCGAGACATCTCCGACATCGTGCACTTGCCTCTTGCGAGCCTGGACCCCGCAGATGGAGCATGGTCTCTCTGGCAAACTTATCTCATGGGCATCGACAAGGTACCTATTGCCAAGCTTTCTCACCTTGCCTCTGTTGCTAAACGAGTTGCTGGTCGTGCCAGGCGGAGGGGGCTTCAATCATCCTTGGAAGAGTTTCGGATCTGGGTCCTGTCGGCTCCCGCTGTTGGTGTTTTGCACAAGTCCCTCTGCAAACCCCCTCCCCCCCCCGTTCGAGCTTACTCCGGAGGGGGGGGGTATTTTTCACCCCAGGGATATCGTCGATCTCAAGGCTAGGAAATGACACAAACTTTGGAGTCCGTCAGAAGTGAATCTCTGCGAGGTGTCTGCCCTTTTTGCCGGGGTCCAGGCGGCCCGCGACGACGAGCAGCTGCCACCTCTCACGCCAGAGCGAGTCCCCAGAGCCACCACGCTCATGAAGGCTCGGGCTGGCCCGGGTATCGACCAGATGTCGCCAGTCGATATCCAGCGGCTTCCCGACGAGGGGATCGAGCAGCTCACTTCTCTTTTTGAGGCCTGTGAGGCCCAGCTGACTTGGCCTTGGCAAGTGCTGATGGTCCTAGGTCGGCTACTGCCGAAGATGTCGGGAGGGGACAGGGTGATCGGGCTTTTGGCCATGCTCACTAGAGTGTGGTCACTGGCCCGCGAAGAAGACGTCCGCTCCTGGTCTTCCTCGGCAGAGCCCGCGTGGGACGCGGCCGTCCGAGGTAACTCTGCGCTTCGTGAAGCATTCCTCCGTGCGCTTCATGACGAAGCATCTTTCAAGCTCGGCACGGACAACGGCCATGGGCTCCTTGACGTGGAGGGGTTTTACGATTCCATTGGGTCGGCTGTTTTGGTGCGTACTGCTCTGAAGCTGAACTTCCCCCCGACGGTTCTGGCCCTTGAACTTCAAAACTGTATCTGCCCAAGGACCCTTGGCCAAGATGGTAGTTTCCCTCAGGCTTTTCAATCTTCGCGAAGTATCGTGCAAGGATTACGAGGAGGCACCCGCTTTGCACGTTGCATGGTATATTTTACTCTCCAGCAGATCTCGACGGCCCACGTGGGCATGTCGATGCGGATCTGGATTGATGATCTTTCTCAACGGGTCCTTGGGTCACGTCGCATTGTCAGAGCTCAACTGTTTCGCGTTCTTCGGGGTGCATGCAACAAGCTCGGCGAGGTTGGTCTCAAGGCGTCGCCTAAAAGTGTGCTGATGTGTTCCAGACCCGCAGACGGGCGTTTTGTCTCACGGCAGCTGCAGAAGGTAGGCATCAGTGTATCTGCTGTGCGGCAGGCCCCGTATCTCGGCGTGGACCCTGGGAACGGGCGGCCAGCTAGGCAGGTACGATACAAGCGGCAGGCGAAAGCCAGCGAGCGGTATGAATGCCAAGATTCGACGTTTTGCCTGTGCGTCCAAACAATACCTTGTGACAGGTCGGCTAGAGAGAGCTGGCGCCCAGGCTGCAGGATCGCACGGCCACCATGTGCACGGGGCGTTTGGATGTTATCGCCAGCAGTTTCGTCGTCTTGGGGCCCCTTTGGGCTCTAGGGCCAAAGGGGGATGCCTCGCCACTCTTCTCGATCTTAAAGCTCCAGGGCAAGATCCAGGAGTTCAGTTTCCTAGAGATGCTCTTCGTTTATGGCTGTCTGTCTGGTTCAGTACTCCAGCTATTCGGCCTATGGTTAATTTGGTGTGGCCCCGCATCGTCGAACAACTTCGTAGCATATCGCCTTCGCAGGTTTCTCGGCAGATCAGGGGGGCCATAGCGGCCATTCTTGGATACCTTCTGGAGGCTGGTTGGGACCCGCAGGCGCCGAACCTTTGGGACACCCCTGACTTCACGTGGAGGTTTTCGGAGTCCGACCTCTCGGGCTTTGAGGACTACTCAGACATTCTTGACGATTTTGAATCCGCATTTCAAGCTAGGTGCTGGTCTCGCGCGTCTATTCACTACTGCGGGGAGGGGGTGGCCGACGGTGTCGACAATTGTAGCTACCGTAAGTTCATCCAGGGTCTCCGCTCGTGCAAGAACGGCCATAGGCTCGCGGAGGTCATGGTCAACATAGCTACAGGGGGTTGCTGGCCACGGCAGCGAGTCGCCGACGAGACCAGAACCAAGATAGATGTTCAATGCCATCGGTGCCACGACGGTGCTGAGACAGCGTTTCGCCGCTTCTGGATTTGCGCGTGCAATAAGAGTGCGAAGGCCTTTGTCGATTCCGACTACCTGGCCCCGCGCGCTCAGACGTTGCACGAGAGCGAGGCTTGCTACTGGCTCAGAGGCATGACCCCAAAGGCTTGGACGGCTATCCCCCCACCTTCGGGCGTGCCCTCTTGGACTTTCTTCAGTGGTACTAATGACGAGCAGTTGCACGGTTCCTTTTTGGGCCGTGGGCGTGAAGATAGACCGCTTGTGGTTTTCGGTGATGCCAGTGGCGGGCCTGATGCTCGCGAACCCCGCTTTCGTCGCATCGGCATCGTAGTCGCCAATATGAGCTCCTACAGTCCCCCAAGCGTACGCTCTGCTATCATTGGACCTCTTCCTGGGCGTAGGCAAACAGTACCTCGCGGGGAACTTTGCGGGCTCCTTCTGGCCATTACGTACAGTGCGGGATCTCTGATCTACGTTACAGATAACTCTGCCGTCGCCGACGGATGGTATGCTGGGCTCTACCTAGAACCATCGGGGGACAACATGGGGATCTGGGACATGATCAGGAAGCAGCTCAGAGACCAGGACCGTGACACGTCACAGATTGTGGTTCTCCAGGTTGCATCCCATTTGACGGCAGAAGAGGAATTTGAAAAGAAGGTACCTCTGTTTCTCACGGTTGGCAACACGGTGGCGGACGTACTGGTTGGAGAGGCCGCGAAGTCCGCTCGACTCCCAGAGGCTCTGCGAGCAAAGGTCTGGACGGTGGAAAAAAAGACACCCTGTTCCTCAGGCGTCGCCTCCTCCGCGCGGGCCTTGAGGCCCTCAACGCTGCAGCTGCTTCGAAGCCCCCCACCTCGAGGAGTTCGACACAGGCGGGGCCTTCTCTTCCTCCTCCCCCTCCCCCTCCGCCATCAGTCAATGTTGTCACTGTTTTCGAGACGGACCACGCTCTAGACGACAGCGGGAAGAGGTGCCGTCGTTGTCGGGGATCTGCCACAGACGCGGCCTTGTTCAGGTGGCGTCGGTCCCCGTGCTTTCTGCTCACTCATGGGCATACTCATGTTTTCCACCTCCCTGTCGGTTAGCATATACATATAGGTGGGGCTGGGTGCATGACACACATCTTATGGCATTTCATAGCATCCTCGGCATATGGTTCTGCAGTAGTTGCGGTTGCTATAGTAGTGAGCATAATTGTCCAGGTCTTCAGGGCCTTTGTAAGCCTCGTCAGCTAACAGATACTCGGAGGGAATATCTTCGACGAATCAAGCGTGGCGAATGGCCGAAGGCCCTGACTCGTGCCCAGCAGGCAGCAAGGGCAGCGAGGTAGTTTCGGATGGATCACTCCGTGATAGCGCATTCTCATTCTCATTATCCTCCTCCTCCTGCTCCTCCTCCTCCTCCTCCTACTCCTCCTCCTCCTCCTCTTCCTCCTCCTCCTCCTCCTCCTCCTCCTCCTCCTCCTCCTCCTCCTCCTCATCCTCCTCTCTCCTCCTCCTCCTCCTCCTCCTCCTCCTCCTCTCCTCCTCCTCCTCCTCCTCCTCCTCCTTCTCCTCCTATTCCTCCTCCTCCTCTTCCTCCTCTTCTTCCTTTCCCTTCTCCTCCTCCTCCTGCTCCTCCTCCTCCTGCCGCGCCACCGCGCCGCGCCGCCGCGCCCGGGGGGGCAGACTCGCGATCCTGAGCGCGGCGCTCAGTGAGACGGGCCGCGCTCCAGCCCCGTGGGCGCCCCCCCCGGCGGGGCAGGCGGCGGGGCAAGAGAGCGGAAGCGGCGGCACGAGCTTGGGCGGGGGTCGGGCGGCGCGGGGGGCCTTCGGCGAAGGCTTCCTCCGACAAGGGAACGATTCGGCCAGGCGGAACTCGGCCAGCTGAGCTCGGTCTTGGGTGAACTCGGCCGGCGCCAAACTCAGCCTGGCCGAGTTCAGCCCAGTCGAGTTCGGCCCGCCGGGGCTAGCCTGGCCGAGCTCAGCTGGCCGAGTTTGGCCTGGCCGAGTTTAGTTGCTGCCATCCGCCCTCGGACGGAGGCCTTCCCCAGGAAGGCGGGGTGCACGAGGGAGGGCAGGGGCAGGGAGCGGGGCAGGGAGGGAACCAGGGTGTGACATGAAAGGGGCTCTCTCCCCAGGGCCGCCGCCAGCGTGAGCCAGTCGATGATCCTCAGGACGCGCGTTAGCCCAGTGTGCGCTTGCTCCGCTCAGCTCTGCCGACAGCACGCCGCCTGGTACTTCGGCCCTCGTCACACTGCCTGCGTCGTGATGAAGGGCCTCGGTGGACAAGCACACGTTGGCGGTGAAACTCGCCCTGAGGATCATCGAGCCAAGCCCGCTCCATGGCCCCCCCCCCGAAAAGGAGTCCGAGAGGGCCCCATTGAGAGTGGATCAGCCTGGGCCCAAAGACGCAGGGGAGGCTGTCGGAGAGTTCCAGCGTCGATCTCTGATGTTCTCGGCTGTGCTCACGGATTCTCGGCGGTCTGTACGGTTGTCGGAGGCTTCTCGGCGTCCTCTGGAATAGGGAATGGGGGGGGGAAGGAAGAGGAGAAAGAGAAGGAGAAAGAGAAGGAGGAGGAGGAGGACGAGGACAAGGGCGAGGACTAGGACGAGGACGAGGAGCAGGAGGAAGATTGCCCTGGAGTGCGCCAAGTCGTTCATTCCATAACCGGCCGAGCGCAGGCCCCGGCACAGTGGACAGGGTCGAGATTGCGTTTCAGTGTTCAGGGCTGGTAGTGCAGCGCAGCGGACGCAGCACAAAGTGCATTACCGTCGGGGCGCTGAAAAGAAACCCTTTTCGTTGGGGAGGGGCTCGGTGTTCCTTGATTGTTTTACAGTTTGCCTTCGGCTTTCCTTAGGTTTTCCATGGGGAATCGAATTATAGTTCCTTAGGTCAAAGCCCCGACGGTACGCTGGCCAAACGATGATGAGGTTTGTGGTGATTCAACGAGTTGCGACGTTTTTGGCGAGTCTGAATCGAACCACCCTGAGAGCACACCATCTGCATAATGTTTCGTACATTCTGTTCTCTCGCTGAACCGTAGACGATTGGCCCAGGGCGCTGAAGCACCGAGGCCAGCTCCAGGCTTGCTAGACCCCTGGAGGGCCAAGGCTTTTCGAAGACAAAACATTTGCCGAATTGAAAACATCATCTCCCGACATTCGATTCAGCGCGCGTATTTTTCTTGAGGGTAAATTGCTGCACGAGAAGTCGGATCGCTGATGGGAAAATGTCGATCGTCCAGCAGGTGACTCAGGCAACGCTGCAAATATTGCAGCACGGCGCGCACCTTAGCCTACTATGTTTCGTGGCATTCGACAGCGTTTCTCCCTCCGCACGTTCTTTCGAGCGTTTCTTGTACTTCAGCCAGGTAGCTGTGTCGAATGGTAGTTTGCGAAAACACAAGCATTTCCACGCGCTTGGCGGCTCGTCTGCAATCGCGCACAAGGTCACACACAAACCAGCAAATCGACTGTACGAAGAGCTCGTGTTCATCGTGCAGAGGCGCTCGGGCACAGGCGTAAGTACGCCCAGCGGCAATCGTTGTCTTCGGAGCGCGTTCCGCGTGAGTTTGCAGTGATAGCGCGGGAGCTGGCGGGAGCCAGAGAGAGCCGAAGGGAGCTAAGTGGTGGTGGTGAAGGTGGGCGGAGCCAGGAGGACCTGGAAGGATCTGGAGGGAGACGGCGCTGCACGGTGCTGCCGTGGCGAAATGGTCGAGCCGACGACGACGACGACGACGACAACGACGATGACGATGACGATGGCAACGGCATCGTCATCGCCATCGTCATCGCCATCGTCGCGGGAAAGAGAGGATGGGCGGCCGGATCAGGTGTGCGGCGAGCATGCGTTGGGACCTCAGTCGCGCGCGCCAGCGCAGCGCGCCAGCGAAATTTCCGCCGCTGCTTCACAGTCTTGGCGGGCTGTGCGGCCCGCTCCTCGTTGTTCTTCCTCGTCGTTCTCCTCCCCTTGCCAGCGAACGTGGCACGCTCCACCTCTCCTTGCTGGCGGAGAGAAACCTCCGGGCAATAGAGGAGGGGACCCCCTGCTCCCCCACTTTGCCTCCCCAGGTTCCCCCTCCCCCTCGTGCCCCCCCATTTCCCCTCTCGCCCCTCCCCATGCCCCCACCCTTCCCTCGCCCTCCCTTCCCTCTCCCCCATCCTCCCCCCCGCCTCTCCTCCTCCTCCTCCTTCCGAGGAGAGGGAGGGAGGGAGACACCCTTGCGCGCGGAAAACCGACTCGGGTGAGCTGGCCCGAAGGCGCTCCACGGCGCACCCTCAGCTGAAGCCGAAACCGGAGCGGAGGTGCACACCAAGAGGAAAGGCCCCACCAGCAGGTTTGGTTGACAGCACACCCCCCCGAGGGAGGGAAGGCACTCACTCGTCCGAACACTTGTGTGCGCCGACAGAAAGCCGCCTCACACAGAATGGTCATTCGTCACGGGGCCTCTTTGCCCACGGCTTTGGATCAGAAGGCGGCGACTTACGGTCGGGAACTTCGGCTTGCAGTGTCGCGCCGCGGGTTCTGGGCCACCACGCTTCGCCGCGACACGCTATCCACAGCCCCGGTTCCCCAGCGTCAGCGTCCCGAACTCTCAGCCTCCCGCCCCGCGGAGCGGAGGGACACGCTACCCGTTCGCAGGGCATAGCATGTCGCTTGGGCCGCGACACGCTGAACACAAGTTCCCGCCCGTAGTCGCGCCCGCCTCCCCAGCCCGCATAGCGAGCAGGTGCGGGCCAAAGCGGGAGCCAATGTTACATGTAGCATGTGCTTTCTTGTTTGAGGCCAGGGGTGCCCCTCCTCGACCCAGGCTTCCTAGACGGGGTCGGAGCAGATGGGGTCGGAGGATCGCACCGCATCGCCAATGCATTGGCGATGCTGCTCGATGTGGAGCCCGATGTTATCCACGTCGATGGCGCCGATGCGTCAGCGTGGCTGTGCAATCCTCCGGCCCCACCGATCCGGACCCCATGGAGGAGGCATCTGCCCACGCAGAGTGGAGCACTTGTGGAAGGTTCGACGAATTTGAGGTTGCTTGGCATTGGTCGGGTTCGCAGGGTCCTTGCAGGGTCCAACAGGATCGTGGTGCCAGAGCTTGCAGTGTCCTGCAGAGATCTGGTTTGCAGTGTACTGCAGGCTTGGCTTGCATGGTCTTTGCAGGGTCGCTCTGCGGGTGATGGCAGGGGGTTGCGGCGAGGCCCCGGGGAGGGTTTGGGGGAACGTGCAGAACGTGCATACCGCTCCCAGAGGGGTAAGAAGACGTTCCTTTGAAAAGTTGACCCGCGAAACCACCGACGTCCAAAGGCATCGCTGGCATGCGCAAAGGTGCCCCTCTCCGGGGCAGCGGCGCAAGGGCGAGAAGATCACTCCGGGCCCCAAGTCCGTGCGGTGACGGACGGCGCGGTGACCTGGGAATCCCCAGTGACCTTACCGCGCGGTCCGTTTCCGCACGATATTGGGACCTCGGAGGCCTCAGTCGCCCGAGACGTCTTCAGAGAACGACCTGAGCGCCAAATCCCCGACACCCCACTGGTTCACCCCAGCGGTGCAGCCCCCGCACCGTTTGGGGGCCCCCGACATTACCGCGCACCGCGGGGCGCGGCCCGCGAAGTTCGGTGGCATTCCCGCACCCTGCAAAAGTGCCAGGGTTTCAGTCCGTCTCGCATGTCGAGGAGGGGGGGGGCGCGATTTGTCCGCCTTCGTCCTCGCTTGCATCTGCATGGTTGCCGTGGGCATGATCGCTTCACACTTCGCCTTCTGTGGCCGCAGCCGTTTCCTGAAGACGAGTCTTCTTTAAACAAGTCCCGCAGTGCGAGGCGCAGGGGTCCTCATCAGAAGCCGCGTCCCCTGCAAAGGTGATGCAATCCCTCCTGCCCCCACAGAACCTCCCAGAGAATGTGCCAAAGCGCTCCAGGCCACCCAAGGATGCCCAGGCGTCTCGACCCTCTCGATCGCACACGAGGACGCCGAGATCTGCATTCCCTTTGCAGCCTGGCGTGGGCAATCGCGCTGCCACCGCCGCCGCCGCCTTCGCCGTCGCCGTCGCCGTCGCCGTCGCCGTTGCGGTCGCCGTTGCGGTCGCCGCCGCCGCCGCCGTCGTCGCCGTCGTCGTCGTTGTCGTCGTCGTCGTCGCCGCCGCCGCCGTCGTCGTCGTCGTCGTCGTCGTCGCCGCCGTCGCCGCGTTTCTCGACGGGGCGGGGGCGCCCGCCAGGGAAGCGGCCGCCGCGGCCAAGCCGGGGCACCTGCTGCCCCGCGGCACGCTCTTCGAGAGCTCGGTGATCGACGCCGCGGAGCCGCGAAGGCGCCGCTGCCTGCGCGCGCAGCGGCTCTGCCGCCGCGCCGCCGACGACGACGACGACGACCACGACGACGACAACGACGACGACGACGACGACGACGACGACGACGACAACGGCGGCGGCCGCGGCGGCGACGGCGACGACAGCCACAGCGGCGGCCGCGGCGACGGCGACGACAGCCACAGCGGCGGCGGCGGCGACGACGGCGGGGACAAGGTGCCACCACCGCCTACCGCCAGGGCCACACACGCGAACAGGAGGCTGCCGATACCGATGCCCTTCCTCGTCTTCGGCCTTTTGTGAGGTTCGTTTTGTTTACCTTGCTGGGGTCAACCTAATGGAGCTGCTCAACTCTAGCTCGATTCAGGTTCGACCCAAGTTCGATTCAGGCCGAAGGGCG